TTTTTTTTTTTTTGGTCGAAACGATAGAAGTACTATTGATAAGCGCACAAATGTGCGAAAATACAAACTGAGAGGTCAGACCAAAGTCCACCTAGAATCGCTAGCAAGGCTAGAAAGAAAAGCAACTCAAACACCAACACAAGAACCCACGACACAGACAAACCAACAAGCTACGCTCCCAAAGGGAGAATTGAACCGGCCCCAAAGGGGTAATAAGATCGACTCCAACAGGGTAATGATAGGAACAAAGAGTTGGTTTGCTATTTTTTTTTAGCAAATTGGTTTGCTATTCATATACTCAAAATGATTGAATTTTGAGTTAAAATAAGTTAATTTAATTTTAAATAAAGTTGATGTGAAAAACCCATGAATTTTTTAGTTTATATTTAAATATAACGACTAGAGTTGATGTGATACAAGAATATAAAAAAATTAAGTGAAAATGATACACAGTCAAAAATGTGTGAATTGATGACTAATAAATTAAAATTGATGTGATGTCTAATAATAATTTATTAATATTAATTAATTATATTGAAATTATTAATACGAGTTGGTTTGAATTATACTATTCTTATCCTTACCTCAATCCAATTATTGATGACTATCCTTCCATTTCGGGTCTAAGGGTACTTTGTTCCTTTTCTCTATTTTTCTTTCTCTTGCAATTTTGAGAACTTGCTTGTGTTAAAGTTTGAATCTTGTTTTTGTTTATTTCAAAGTTGCGACCTTTACCTTAAATCGATCACCAAATTGCTAGAAGAGAGTTTAAGACTTTTTTTTTTTTCCTTTCTTGTGTGAGTCAATCGTTGTTTGAATTCATGGCCGAACAACCTTCCTCGAGAGACACGATCCTAAGTCGAGATTTATTCCATACTCGGCTAAAAAGTATAAAACAAAATGGTGTCGTTGTTGGGAGACCCACATGCCTGCTTGCCCACCAACCTGCCCAGGCCTGCTGCACTCGCGACGCGAACGGGATTCCATGAGGCCGCAAGTCTCTCGCCCTGCCTATACAAACAATCGCACCGTGGACGAGATTCCGCGAGCCGCGAGTCGCTCGTCCTGCCTATGCACACACTCGCCACGCAAACGGGATTCCTCGACCTCGCGAATGCCCAAGACCAGCCCAACATTCCACACTCGCGACCCAACCCCATTTCACGAAACTGCAAGTTCTGATCATTAAACATGTGTGTTTTCGTGTGTGTTTGAGGTGTAACTATAACTAGACTAAGACCTTTGTTTTTTATCATCAATTCCTAATTTGCAAAGGTTTTTTTTTTTAGTTTCTCTCTAATTTTATTTCTCTCTCTAAAGGCTCTAAGACCCTTTTTTTTGTAATACTTCTCCATCAAGATTGCAACTTTCCAGGTCATTTCTACTCTTGGTTGCACTAGAGACATGGAGACTTAGTTTAAGGTCCAAGATCTTGTAAGTTTTTCTTGGCTTTACTTACTAGATTTTTCTAGGGTAAAGGTATGAGCTTTCATGAGTAGAATGTGCTTTCATCCTTATAGGCTAGAGATTATGTGATTTTGTTATTGACTGCGTGAGCGAGAATTGATTGAGAGTTTGATTAATTGATTCGTGAGTGACGATTGCTTGATTGCATGTTCTCAAACCTATGTGTATCTTTTTTCCATCTCTGGTTTTGGGGTGCCTTATTCTTTTTCTCTCTATTTCCTTTTTATTGCAATTTTAGGTCTTTCTTGTGTTAAAGTTTGAATCTTGTTAGTTTAAGGTTTCATCTGCTTTTATTTTAGTTTAAAGTTGCGTTCTTTAGTCTTAATTATCAACCAAATTGCGAGTAAATTGTTTAGGATCTTTCTTTTCGTTTCTTGTGTGAGTCAATCATTGCTTGAAGCTGTGTCCGAACAACCTTCCTTGAGAGACACGACTCGAGGTCGGGATTTACCTCGTACTTGGCTAAAAACTACAAAGCAGTGGTTTATTTTATAATCCCAAGGATCAAAAGATGATTGTTAGCACAAACGTTAAATTTATAGAAGAAGACTATATTCTAGACCACAAGCCCACTAGTAAAATTGTCGTAGAGGAGTTAAGGGGTGAGGTCGAGCATCCAATACTGAGTGTGCAAACACCAAATAATATTGCAACACGTGTCACTGAGTATGCGCATATGCAAGTGGTATCTTATCGTAGTTGGAGGGTTGTTAGGCAGTCGGACAGGTTTATGTTCCTCAGAGAGTTTTTAGAATTATTCTCAGGTAAGCTAGAACCTGACCCTTGGACCTACGACGAGGCACTCCAGGACAAGGTTGCAAAATCGTGACAAAGTGCGATGACTGCTGAAATGGAGTCAATGAACCCCAATCAAGTATGGGATCTTATAGAACCACCCAATGGGTAATGACCCATTGAATGCCAGTGGGTCTATAAGAGAAAGAGGGGATCGGATGGGAAGGTTGAGACCTTAAAAATGAGGCTTGTAGTGAAAGGATATACTCAGAAAGAGAGATCAGATTTTAAGGATGATTTCTCGTCGTTATCCATGCTCAAGTCCATTAAGATTCTCTTGATATTTGCTACTCATATGGAATATGAATTATGACAGATGGATATTAAGACGACTTTCCTTAGTGAAAGTCTTCAAGAAGACATCTATATGCAGTAGCCTGTTTCGTATAGATATGATGGGCAAGGGATAACCGAGCTACCCAACTCGGGTCGATCTCGAAGGAAGGCTATTCGGAGCTTTGTCTACTAAATGATCGTCCAAATCACAAAAATCGAAAATAAAATTCTAAACATTCTAAACAATTGATTGGATGGTTGATTAACACTAATTGAGCACTTAAAATCGAGCAATTAATTGAAAGCAAGATCAAAAGACGAGCATTTCGCGAACTAGATCACCGGAGTCTCATGCCATAACCAATACGGGATGATAATCAATCGACATACGGAATAAACGAGCTACGAGCATTAGATTGCTAACCCTAGTCGTCTAA